AAAAAAAAAAAAAAAAAAAAAAAAAGTTCTGAGTTCAACCCCTGGTACCAGAAAAAATAAAAATAAAAACCTATTTTGAAAGGGTTGATATTGCACAGTAGATATTGTAGAAGATAGTTTTTGACATAATTTTCCAATTTTTGTTTGTTTTGTTTGATAGAATCCAAGGCCTTATGCATACAAAGTAAGAGCTCTACTATTGACCTACATTTTAAGCCCTTTTTGAATTTTCTTAAAATAACTATTTGATATTATTATATAACACAAATATGACCCAGCAAGTACATCATTATAAAATTTCTTAAACTGAATGTTTTAACCTTACATCATATAATAGCACAGATTAAATTCACTTTATATTATTTTCACAACACAATTTTTGTGATATATTAGAACATACAAATGGAAAGATAATCACACAAATTTTTTGTTTTAATAATTGAAGAATAAACCACATTAAATATTACAGCATTGATTACTTTGGCCAAGCACTTCAAACATTTTTCTTTGGTAAACATTAACAATTGCCAGGTTTTCCTCTCACAAAATTAATCTTACATGCTTTGTTAATGATAACATGTATGTGTTTAGGATGAAATTTTATTCCAAACATTGACAAGGCCATTTTTTCTACGAATAAATTAAATCAGTAGTGAACAGTAATAAGCTACACCAAGATCACATATAGAACAAAAGTAAAACAGGAAAAAGAAATGTGAACAGGAAAACATAAAGTAATAAAGGTTTTCAATAAAAAATGTTGTATTATTGTTTTCCAGGATAATTGTCCACCAAAGGACATTTTCTTTTATAAGTATATCAGCTCTCTATTTCTACATGTTTGATGAGTAGTTATTTAGTATATGGGGACATTAAAATATTCATGTTGTGGCTTTTGCAGTGGATAAGCCTACTCAATTGGTTTGAAGACTTTTTTTTGGATGTTTCTTAAATTTAGCCTTTCAAAAGAAGCTCATCCAAGATAAAATAAAACTTCAAAACTAAAGATAATATCAAGTTCATGTACATGCCAAAATACTTGTCAAGTAATTCCACTTAACAATGAATTATTTGCAGAGTAATAAGTTATTGTCTTGATTCTCAATAGCACAGCAAAAATACAGACAAGTGTGCTTTTTATAGACAATCGTAGATCTCATCACTCAAAGAAAATGCACATTTTAGGTTTCCTTTCTAAAATTGTTTGAATAATTTCTCTCATGATTGTCTTTGATCTTTTTCTTTTTAATTTGACGGTTGTACCCTTTTGTGCAGATCAAGCTTTTCTTGGTGATTACAAAAGAATACAGTGCTGAGAATTTTGCTCAACAGCACAGTGCCTGTCTAGTAAGCTTGAGGTCCTGAGTTCAACTTCCGGTATGAAAAAATAAAACCAAAGGGCAGGCCAACAGGAAAAGATGACAATCACAAATATATATGCACCAAATACTAATGCCCCCAACTATACAAAAAAAATACTAAGGGACATTAAAAACCAAATAAGCACAAATACAATTGTAGAGGGGAAACCTACACTGTCACAAATGAACAGATCATCTAAACAAAAAAAAAAATAACAATGAAATTACAGAACTGAACCAAGCCTTTGAAAAAATGGACTTAAGAGATGCCTAGAGTGTTCCACCCCACAAAATCAGAATATGCATTATTTTTGGGTGCACATGGGTCATTCTTCAAAATAGACCACATGCTAGCTCAAAGATGTTTAAGTAAATGCAAAGGAATTGAAATTATCTCATGTATATTATCAGACCATAGTGCAACTAAACTGGAGATCAATACCATAAGAAACTGTAAGAACTTCACAAACACATGGAAATTGAATAACATTCTCCTGAATAATCAATGGGTCACAGCAGAAATTAAAGAAAAAATTAGACAGCTTTTATAATTTAATGACAATGTCAGTACAACATACAGGAATCTGTGGGATACAATAAAAACAGTTTTAGGTGAGAAATTCATAGCAGTGAATGCCCACACTAGAAAAACAGAGAGAGCTCAAATAATCTAGTAGTAAATCTTAAGCTCCTAGAAAAATAAGGTAAAGAGAAACCCAAAGCTCATACAAGGGAAGAAATTATAAAGACCAGAGCAGAAATCAATGTAATGGAGACTAAGAAAATGATACAAAAAATTAACAAATCAAAGAGTTGGTTTTTCAAAAGAATAAATAAAATCAATAAACCCTTCACCAACCTTATTAAAAAAGAGGAAAGAAAAGGCTCAAATTTATGCAATTAGGAATGAAAATGTTGAAGTCACAGTGGATTCAGCAGAAATAAAGAGGATCACCAATACTTATTTTGAGAACCTGTACTCTAATAAAATGGAGAACATAGAAGAAATGTACAGACTTCTAGATACATATGAATTACCAAAGTTGACCAAAGAAGATATAAAAATTTGAAACACACCAATTATAATAAAAGACATTGAAAATGTACTTAAAAATTTACCAACAAAGAAAAGCCTACGTCCTAATGGCATTACTGCTGAATTCTGCAAGACATTTGGAGAACTATTACCACTACTCTTTAAAATTTTCAATGAAATTGAAAGGGAAGTGATACTTCCAAATGCATTCCTGGAAGCAAGTACTATTTTGATTCTAAAACCAGGTAAAGACCCAACCAAAAAAGAGAGCTACAGGCCAATCTCCCTAATGAACATAGATACAAAAATCCTCAATAAGATACTGGAAAAAAAGAATACAAAGGGCCATCAAGAAGATCATACACCCTGACCAACTCGGATATATTTCAGGAATGCAAGGGTGGTTCAACATATGTAAATCAATAAATCTAATACACTATATTAACTGGGGACAACTTCAATTCCTTTGCATTTACTTTAGCATGTTTTGTGATCTAGCATGTGGTCTATTTTGGAGAATGATCTGTGTGCACCCAAGAAGAATACATATTCTGATTCTGTGGGGTGGAATACTATAGATATAAACTAAGTCCATTTGTTCTAAGACTCAGTTCAGTTCTGTTATTTCTTCAATGATTTTTTT